CCCTCTTGACAAAAATATCAAGAAAGCCGGCGGGGAAAGTCTACATCAAGGCACGAGCGCTTGATAAGAGAGAGGTGGCCACCTGAGCGTTCTTCGCGGCTTTTCTGTTCTCGCCGCCTCTCTCAAAAACCTCCCCCGGCTTATCAAAAACTCCATCAATGAAGGCAGCGGCTTTTGTAACGAGACTCCAGAGGGAAAGGGCAACGGCTCTCGCAAAAAGCTTGTACGGAAATGGCGGCAACCGAGGGGCGACTCATCCCCCTCTGAAACACCAATCTGTTTTCTAACTCGTCGGGTCAGGAAGTTCTTCGCTTCACAGACTACGCCGAAACGATTCGGACAGGCGCAAATGACTGTCACTATCCAGCCGGAGGCACCTCGTGTCGCCGGAGAGCCTCAGACGGAATCAACGGTTGCCCTCTAAGCTGATCCTGACGCTGCACCATGCACCCCCCCTTTCTGTAACTCCAACACACATGCAAACTTCCATGGAATCTGCCACTGCGATAGAGTTTTCTGTTGACTGGCCACAGTGAAGGGAAGGGGGCTGCAGCTCAGTGGTAGTGCATTTGCTTGGCATGCAGAAGGTCCCAGGTTCAATCCCCGGCATCTCCAGTTAAGAAGGACCAGACAGTGGATAACGAGAAAGACCTCTGTCTGAGACCCTGGAGAGCCACTACCAGTCTGAATAGACAATATTGACCTTGATGGACCAGTGGTCTGTTTAGGATAAGGCAGTTTCATATGTTCATGTAGATAAACATTCCATGTAGGAATACAACTGCTTGCTTTTTCCAGTGGAAACCTCAAACAGCACTTGTGAGATAAGCAGGGGTCATTTCCTGCAGGAGCAGTAAAGAGCCCAGGGGGTGGGCACATGCAACAAGCCCCACCCCCTGCTCCCGGAAGTGTGTCATAAGGCCACACCCCCTGACATCACCGGAAGTGTGTCATAAGGCCACACACCCCGCCCCCAACGGTCCCGGCCGCCGCCGGCCTTGCAGCTCCGCTGAAGGCCCTCCCTGGCCCCAGGCAGGCAGGGGTGGGGAGAGGCAGGGAGGAAGCAACTTACCCTCCCTCTTCTCCTGCCTCCTCCTGGCTGAATGAGGGCCGGAAGCGGGGCGGCCGGAAGCGGGGGGCGGGGCTTCGTCATGTGCCCCGCCCCCATACCTCACCCAGGGGAACTGCGATCCCCCGCGATTCCCCCCGAAATGACCTCTGTAGCACAATAAGATGAAACAATGAGGTACGTGTTGTAAACTATAACAGAGTTGCAAAGGAGTAATTTTCCATTAAACTCATACACAATCATTGTAAGGTTCAACGAGCAGGACATAAAGACCAAGAACACTATTATCATCCCCAAAGGTGTATCATAGGCCTAGGCCAACAACCCTTTTGGGAATTTCATGCTGAGATGTGAGATATTCAAGTACGGGTAACCCATTGTGGAGAAAGCAGAGCGCATAGAAGGGTGAGAAAGATTGTCCGTGATTTTTGCCATGTTATACAGATTCCATAGCTTTCGGTGCCATTGTGTAAGAGTAGGAGATTTTGGAGATTTCCAGTTCAATGCAATAGTACTCCAAGCAGCACAGAGCACCAGAGTCTTGTTTACTCTGGCAGTGGCTCTCCAGAGTCTTAGGCCTTTCACATCACCAGCTACCTGATCCTTCTAACTGGAGATGCCATGGATTGAACCTAGGGTTGCCAGTTTCCCCCTGGCCACCGGTGTGGGATGGGGGAGGATGGGAAGGGGGCTAGGGTTGCCAGATCCAGCTTGGCAAACTCCTGGGGATCTGGGAATGGAGTGTTGGGAGGACAGGGACCTCAGCGGGATACGGTGCCATAGAGTCCACCCTCCAAAGCATCCATTTTCCTCCAGGGGAACCCATCTCTGTCATCTGGAGACGAGCTGTAATTCCAGGGGGTCTCCAGGTCCCACCTGGAGGCTGCCATCCCTAATTGAAGCGGGGACCTTAAGCATGAAGATCTGATGCCCTGTCAAGTGATAAACCATTCTACTTGACTGAGCGAAGGGGAGTCCCTCCACTCCGTCTAGCAGGACGGTTCTTGATTTTATTGATTTATTAGATTATTCCGTTGCCACTCCCCCGAACGGTCTCGTGGCGACTGACAACCTTAAAACCAATAAGGTAAAAACAACATGAATGACAAATGTAAAATATTAATATTAAAATATTAAGATAACGTGGCTGTCGCCATACCTACTGAAACAGCCCAAACACACAGTTATCCTACAGAGGCCAACCTAAATAATTCAGCTTTGCGTGCGGAAACGAAACTAGTCCAGAGGTGCACAGTTGTTATCCGAGAGTGCATTCCACAGTTTGGAGGCCACAACTGAGAAGGCCCTGATGTGATAAGCAGTAATTTAATCGCACAGACTCCGCACACAAGTGTGGTATTCAGTTGTGAAT